AGCGGCCGGGGGGAGGGCGCCGGGGGGGAGGGCGGCCGGAGCCCCGGAGCCCCGGGAGGAGGGCGGCGAGCCCCGGCGGGGGCTCGGCTCTCCCCTCCCCGGCGGCCAGAGCGCCGGGGGCAGGGCGGCGAGAGGGCGGCGAGCCCCAGCTGGGGCTCGGCTCTCCCCCTGGCGGCCAGAGCGCAGGGCGGCGAGCCCCGGCAGGGGCTCCCCGCTCTCCCCCCGGCGGCCGGGGGGAGGGCGGCGAGCCTGGCCGTGCCCCCGCTCTCCCCGGCGGCCGGAGCGCTGCGCCGCCCCCCTCCAGGTGCCGCCCCAAGCACCAGCTTGGGTGCCTGGTGCCTGGAGCCGGCCCTGCTCCTACCTGTACATCCTGATCCTGGCTCCATCCTGAGAATCTGCCCTGCCAAGAGGAGGAGAAAAGCCTTCTCCGCCTGCACCTCCCACCTGACTCTGGTCACTATGTTATAGGGGACTCAGCATTATGTATTTGGGACCCAGTTCCAGCTGCGCCCTAGATCAGGATATGGTCATGTCAAAAGTGATCCCCAGGCTGGACTCCTGATCTACAGCCTCAGGAACGTGGAGATGAAGGATGCTATCTATGGTTGTGAGGAAAACATTTCCTTATGTGATGTGATTTGCAGGGAGTCCATAAAGAATAAGCAGCAATTGCTCAAATTAAGAGAGAGAGAGAGAAAGAGAGAGGACCCGAGGCGAGTCGGTGCCAAATTGAAGAAAAGCACTAAGCGCTCATCACAACGCACTTTGAGGGGCATCAGCTACCTTTGTACAGGAGCGGGAAATGGGATGAGAACAGGGAAAGGCTGCTGAGTTCCCTGCCCACGCCCTCCCGTGCTTCTCCACAGCCTGCTCCTGCCCTGCTGGTGTCCCGCCCCAAGCCCCGGCTGCTGCGCCACTCGGACCCTGATTCACCCTTCCCCTGCCCGGTACCTGCGGCTGATTCCCATCGGAAGAGGAGCTTCGCTGCAGAACGCTGCCCGAAGCCGGGACACCGTGCGACATCCCGGGAGCTGCTGAGCGGCCGGGGCCGCGGCGGGAGCCCAAAGAGCAGCCACGCTCCCCGCACCCCGGCCCCTGCCAGCGCACTCCTGTCCCCAGCCTCGCTAGGGGGAAACTCCGGCCCGGGGCATCCCGGCAGCCTGCACCTGGCTGCAGCGGCTCGCACACTCTCTGTGCTTCCCCAGCCCCCGGGGAGGAGCCGCCTCCTCTTCCCGGATCCGGCTGCGGCCGCAGCCTCCGGGAGGCAGAGCCTGGGAGTCCCGCACGCGCGGCGGCGGCAGCAGCAGCTCACTTGTCAATTTCATGGAAGTCACGTGGCGCCCTTTGAAACTTAGGAGGGAACTAGTTGCTAAACCGCAAGGGTGGCTGCGTGGGGAAGCGAGAGGGGCTGCGGAGCACAGCCAGGCGGGGGGAGGCCAGAGCTCCCTTCCCCCGCACGCCTCGGGGGGCTCGTGAGAGCGATACTCCGAGCCATAGATACCCTAGCACCCGGGGGGCAATTTGGGAAATAAGAACTGAAGGCTACGACCAGCACCTTAAAGCGATTCCTTGGCGATGGGAGCCAAACTTCCCCACCCACTAACTACCTAGCAAAGAGAGAACATGTAAGAGGGGGCTGACGGGAGGGTTTAGTTCAGCTCCTTAGAGAGAAAACTCAGGTCCCGCTCTGAAGGGGGACAGGGATTTAGGGGGTGCTCAGATCCGGGGTTTGGACTTAGCCCCATTTCTACAATGACATGTTTTAAGGGCTAGAAGGAGGAAGAGGAAACAGGATCACAATCCTTAATACGCTCCCTCCTGCACAGCCATACACTGGATTAGATGGATTCTCTAGTGGGACAGTGAAACCAACCATTTCCTGTATATAAAAAGGGTCTATCCTGCCAACAGGACAGTGATAAGAACAGTATAAATGCTTAGCAAGAAGGATGAATTTTCAATCCATAACTTTGCTAACTACTAGAAATCATGGACTGAATAGACACACTGGATTTGTGGCTTATTATACGAATGTATAAGGCACTAACAACCCTCCCAGCTGCCTGCCTTCTCCCCCCTTTTCCTTCCCTCCCACAGGAGGGGTGTTAACAGGCCAATTCACTTTGAAGGGGCCCTTGCGATGTGTTAACTACTTATACTAACAGGGCCGGCTCTAGGTTTTTTGCTGCCCCAAGCAAAAAAAATTTTGGCTGCCCCCGTCCCAGCCCTGGGCTCCTCGCCGCACCCCCCTGCCACCCCAGCCCTGGGCTCTCACCCCCCCGACCCGCACCCCCCAGCCCTGGGCTCTCCCCCACAAACACACACCCTGCCGCCCCAGCTCTGGGTTCCCCCTAACCCCCCACCATTGCCCCCCCACACATCTCCTGCCGCCCCAGCCCTGGGCTCACCCCCCACCACCACCTGCACCCTCCCGCTGCAGCCCTGGGTCACTGGTAACTCGCTCCCAGGGCAGGTCATTCAGCAGGAATTTTAGATGTGCACAGAACACAGACAGGATTGGTTCCCATATGGTTACAGAACTGCAGTAAAGTGGAACAATTTTCAGCTTGTGTGATTGGAGGATATCTGGATGCATATTATAAGACTGTCCTCCATAAATGAGGAAAAGTTGTGGTGCCTTTATTATTCTTTTGTTCCACTCTTTCTTTCTATGGGGAATTTGCCAATGCAATATCAGTCTTCCTTTTAAACAAACAAACAAACAAACAAAAAAGGCAATGGCTGTTGAAAATAGCAATTCCAGTCCTAATAACCACTGGGAAGCATTTCTTGCTCAATTTATTCTACTTTTTCTACAGCAAGTTACAGTGGATCAGTATATTTGATTTGGGAGAAATGAAGTAACAGCTGCCCAAACTGAGCTTGAGCACTCCTGAATTTTGAGGTGTTCAAATCTGGAAGGCAGGTGCTGGGAGGGGGGCTGTGGCTCCACAGGGGAGCACGGCAGCATGTATGCAGCAGCGTGTCTGGCGCTGCGTGAAGCCAGACACACTGGTCTGAGTGGCATGGTAAGGGGTCTGGGGCGTTGGAGAAGGGGTAGGGGGTTCCAGGGGGGGGCAGTCAAGGGACAGGGAGCAGGGGGGGTTAGATGGGTCAGGTGTTGGGGGGGCAGTCAGGGGACAGGCAGCAGTTGGATAGGCATGGGAGTCCCAGGGGTTTGTCAGGGGACAGGTAGGGGGTTGAGTCCTAGGGGGGAAGTTGGGGGGGGTCTCAGGAGGGGGCAGTTGGGGACAAGGACCATTGGGGCTTAGATAGGGGGTGGGGTCCTGGGGGGCAGTTGGGGCAGGGGTCCCGGGAGGGGGTGATCAGGGGACAGGTAGTAGGGGGGTTGGATGGGTTGGGGTTTCTGGGGGGGGCAGTCGGAGGGAGTGGATGGTGGCAGGGTGGGGCTACCCTCCATCCCCGTGGAGAGTCCTATTTTTTTAATGTTAAAATATGGAATCCCTACTCACAGTGCAGCTCTCCATTCAAAGCAGGCTGCAGCATGAGGTCTCAGCTTCCTCACTCCCTCCCCCTCTTTCCTGTTGGTAGTGGCCTAGGGAATGCTGGGAAATGTAGTTCTTTCCCTGCTCCAGGGCTGGCTCTATAGGCAGGGAGCTAACCAAGGAACTACAACTCCCAGGGCCCCCTGTTGGTTTCTCAGCTCCCATGCTGGATCCCTGCCGCCCCTGCAAATGGGCTGCCCCAAGCACGTGCTTGCTTTGCTGGTGCCTAGAGCCGCCCCTGTATACTAAACAATCTGTTCAACCCTGGTATTTAGCTGTGACACTTTGAGTTAGGCCTTGTCTACACTACAAAGTTTTGCTGACAAAAGGCAGCTTTTGTCGACAAAACGGTGAGTGCGTACACACTGCGATGTGACTTTTGGCGGCAAAAATGCCCTGTTTTGGCAACAAAATAACCACCCCAATGAGAGATTAAGGGTATGTCGACACTGCCCACATTACAGTCCGGCCACGGCAGCGCTGTAACATGGGCAGTGTAGTGACGCTTTATCACCGCCGGGGGGAGAGCTCTCCCGGTGATAAAAAATAACCACCCCGAACGAACGAGGGATGGTAGCTTTATTGCTGGGAGCACAGCTCCCGGTGATAAAGTGCTGTCTATACTGGCACTTTTCAGCACTAAAACTTTTGTCGCTCAGGGGGGTGTTTTTTCACACCCCTGAACAACTAAAGTGTTAGTGCAGAAAGTGGCAGTGTAGACACAGCCTTACATCTTTTTCCTCTAAATTTTTGTTGACAAAGTGCCAGTGTAGATATCACGTTTGATTTTATCGCTTTAATTGGCCTCCAGGAGGTGTTCCACAATGCCCATCGGGACCGCTCTGGTCAGCAGTTTGAACTCCGCTAGGCTGCAGCTAGGAAAACAACCATCTGCCCCTCCCCCTTAGAAGCCCTAGGAATTTTTGAAATTCCATTTCCTGTTTGCTCGACCTGGAGAGATCTCATTGCATCTCCCCAGCTAAACATGACCGGTTATCGCAGCAAATGCTCTCCTGCTTCCGCTTAAACCACTGCAGAGCTGTTGGATCTGCTCAGTATATGGGGAGAGGAGGCTGTGCAGTCCCAGCTACGCTTGAGCCATAGGAATAGGGATACCTATGTAGGGTGACCAGATGTCCTAATTTTATAGGGGCTTTTTTGTAATATGGGCTTCTATTACCTCTCACCCCCAGTCCCGATTTTTCACATTTGCTATCTGATCACCCTATACCTATAGGCACATTTCTTGAGGCTTGTGTGAAAAGGGCCATGATCGGGACATGCTGCAGTGCAGAGCGATGATAAAGGAGCTGAGGCAGGCATACCATAAGGCAAGGGAGGCAAACTGTCACTTCAGTACTTCACTTAAGACCTGCCGGTTCTATAAGGAGCTGGACGGTATCCTCGGTAGCAATCCCACCTTCATCGCCAAGAGCCCTGTGGATACTTCGGTGGGCCTGGAGGAGGTAGAAAGATGAACTAACCTGGAGAACATAGTCATTGATGAAGAGGTGGAGTTAGATGATGATGTGGAGCTCCCAGCGAGGTCTGCCCGTGGGGCAGGCAACCAGGAACTGTTCACCACTTCAGAGGTGTCTAGCCAGTCTCAGCAGTTGCTCTCCGGTCAGGGCCGGCTCCAGGCACCAGTTTGCCAAGCAGGTGCTTGGGGCGGCCACTCCGGAGAGGGGCGGCAGGTCCAACTATTCGGCGGCAATTCGGCGGACGGTCCCTCACTCCCGCTCGGAGCGAAGGACCTCCCGCCGAATTGCCGCCGCAGATCGCGATCGCAGCTTTTTTTTTTTTTTTT